TATTGTGTAATAATTAAAAAAACAGGCAAAATTCAATTCTGATGGTACTTTACTAGGTTTATAGGATGTAGTGTAAACTTCTTAGCATGAATTACAGGGCCCACCCTGGTGGTAGCTCCTCAGTAACAGGGCTGTTTCCCTCATAAAACATAAGAATATCGTTTTTATGGAGCGACTGATGTGTGGTCCTAAAGGTCACAACTGTTTTGTCTCTAAGTAAGAGACAGTTTTTCTGGCTCAGATGGTAAAGAATTTGCCTGCAATGTGGGAGACCTGGGTTCAATCCTTGGGTTGAAAAGATTCCCTGGAGGAAGGCATGGCAACCCACCCCATTATTTATGCCTGGAGAATATCCATGGACAGAGGAGCCTGGCAGGCTACAGTCCATGGGGTTGCAAAGAGTCAGACATGACTGAGTGACTAAGCACAGCAGCACACAAGAGATAGTAGTACTGAAAAGTTGAGGATTTAGAATATCCATTTTTATGTGGCGAGAAATGCTGGTGTAGCATTTTGTGGAATCCTAGTCTAGTATAGCCTCAGTTGCCTCTATTAAATGTGACTAGTAACTGATTCCCCCAGTGTCACTCTTGGGCAGAGATTGAACCACTTTTGATCCCAGGCCTAGGCAACTTTGCATCTGACAAGAACAATCCTTCTCACTTCAACCCTTCTGGAGGGGAGAGGAGTATGTGATGTGTGGTCAGTTGAGGGGAGCACATTGTATTGTCCAGAGTTTTCTACTTACTTTTTGCATTTATGCATCTATTTAGCAATCTGGGCTGTACTCCTCTACCTCACTTCACCTCCCCTGTAACCTAATTCATTTCATTGGAATCTGGATTCTGCAGAGAACTGGCTTCTAGAAGTATAGTAGCAGGTATATTTCCCCACAAGTTTGTCCTGAGTTGTTTTAGGTTTTAGAACTTTTTGTGGCAGCCCTTTTAGTGTTATCACACTAAAGTGTGATCACCCTGATGGAGAATCTTGGTTTGTGCTGCTGCTGTCCCCATCCCACCCCCACCGCCACATGCCATTTCCTACATGCATGTGGCTTATTTAGAGCTTGGATGACCACCCCAACCCACTCCCCATTTCCACCACCATTCAACTCCTCCAATCCTGAGGTAAATGATGAGATATTGATGTTAATTATGTTTATCCATTTATTAAAATACTTCAAGAAGCAAAACTTTATTAACTTTGAAGACGTGTTCCATTTTGTGGGGAGGAGGAATAGGCACACTTTGTAGACCTTTACTTTCTGCTTTTTTGCGTTACCCCATAACTACCCCAGTTTCCTCCCCCCAACAAGCCCCTGGCCCTGCTGCTTATTTGCAGGGGCCTCTGCGGAATCAAAACAACAAATAGAATACAACATAGATTAAAGATTAGACAAATAGACAGATGCAGTTCCACAAACCATAAAATCAATCAAGATCCTTTACAAGGATGGAATGGTGCTAATGAGTTTGGTTGCCTTGGTATTGTTTTCTACTTCTTATGAAACAAAAATTCTTCTACTTGTGTCCCAAGGGAAGATGATGTTGACCCCAACTATTGCTTCTGCTCAACCTTTAACCTAAGTTATTAAGTTGAAAATGTCTTCCTTATTCTTCCCTTGTTCCTTTGGACACAACACAGGCCTCTTTTTGGTGAAGGGACTGATAGCCGCTGATCTCCTGTATTGTTGACACCAAAAGCAGTTGATGGCAGTCCAAATCTACTGGCATTCTGCTTCCCCACTAGTTCTTCTTACTAGGAATTGCCCACTCAATCAGTCCATCAGAAAGTGCCAGAAAGATGCAATCAAATCCCAGAACTTTGGCTCTTGATGGCAACTTTGAACAGAATTGAGATGGATATTTGGTGTCTGGCCCCACCACCTGAACAACTATATTACTGCAAGAAGTTAACCATGAAGTCCTGAAAGGAGCTTATGCTTCCAGAGGCTGAGCCAACTCTCTTGAAAAAGAGATAACCACTTCTTGTTTTGTTTTCAAGCTAGTATGAGCAAGAACAAGTGCTCAGCAAAACTGTCTCCCTTTTTTGGAAAACAATTGGTAACTAAGCAGTGTAGGAGGTAACCAAGTGATTTAGCTAGCCACATCTGCTCCTATGTCTCATGGCCTATCAATTCTGCTCCGTGAGTTGACTCCAGCTTCCAATCCTAGTGGTTTTATTCAATATCATTCTGAATCAGGCTGGGAGGACAGGGTGAGTGAAACAGAATCCAGACGATACAACAGAGCAACAGTAGTATTACATAATACAAAGACATGTAGTAAGTTAGCAAAGTAAGCACAATAGATGGAGTACTATTACAGTTTACTGTCACCGGTGATTAAAAATAATTACAAGACACAGCTCTGCTTAGGCACTGCCAAGTAAAAGCTACCCTCTCCCAGGACTTTCTTTTGTTTCCTTAAATTTACTCATTTGACTCTTCTGAGAAAAAATGCAACTTGGTTCCCAACTCTGTGAGTGAGCATGTGTGCAGCTGTTAATGTGTGCAGCCATGGAGGAGTCAAGTTGGGCTGCAACAACTGTGGCCTTACTGATTTGATCGAATACCTCCTCCTGGGAAGAAAGAGTAATGCAGAGAAAGCCAAATACACAGGAACAGCACATTCTCCACTTAAATACGTATAGTAAGTTAACATATTCTGATGCTTAAATAAGTCTTAAATGTTTTCTCTCAATGTTTTTCCATTAACTTTCTTAACTAGTTGTAGAGCTAAGACTTTTTTATTTGTTTGGCACAGCCATCAGACATCTGGGGACTATCCCCTTGTTAGTATGTTTCTCCTCACCCCTGCAGAGGTGGAACACAGGTGGCTGGTTTAAGTGGGCTAGGCTGGTGGAATTCCAGAGTTGAGAACCAGTGCTTAGAGTTGGATTGTGCACCTCGATGAACCAGCCAGTGGACTGAGTCAGGTAACTGAGCACGCTAAGTTTGTCTGAGAAGTGGGGAGAGGCCAGTTTCCTGGCTTTCTGTTGTAAATGGGAAGGGACATTTACCTAAAGGTATAAATTGAAGGTGGGTAGGGATACAAGGCAGACTAGAGGAAATCACTGGGGAAATACTGGAGTTTGATTAGATTTGCCTGACTGGGCACAGGCATTCAAAAAAAAAATGCTAATTGGGATTTGGAGCAATTTTGGCCTGGTTTGTTTTCTTGAGAAATTTGGAAGAAGAACCATGGGAGAAGCAGAAGCTTTTAGCCTCCATTTTCCCAGGCCCTTGTTCTCTCTGATCACTTTGAATTTCCCTCTGGTACTCAAGGAAAAGGAGCAAGAAGGGAGATTCAAAGGTGATTTGGGGACTTAACCAACAGCAGACCAAGATGGAGCTTGTGGGGAAGGGCCTAGGCTGTGGCTTGATTGTCAGGCAGTCCTTTGCTCAGACATCTAAGTCAGAGAGCTCAAGGCCTCGTTGCTCCATATAGTTTCTTGGGTGAGGGGACAGCATAGGTTGGGGCAGTTGCTGATGTAGAGTCCAGGACAGATAGAGCAAAAGGCAGCATGCCAGCTTAGCCCCCTTCTCTAGGGCATTGATGTTTTTGTTCCCCTTTCTGTGGCCTGGCTCAGAATTTTAAGGGGGCGTCGGAATCAGCTGGGCCATTGGTAGATCCCAGCCACTTATAAGACGCTGAAAATGCACCAAAAGTTTAGAAGCTCCACCAAGAACTAGGGCAGTTGGTAGAGGCATATGTGTGTGTAGGGTAGTGGGGGTGGGGAGGGATTCCTGGGTTAGCACAATAAATTATAGGGTCATTTAGAGGTCGAGTTGTATTTTCAGTTCTTAAAAATATATATATATATTTATATATATACATCTTTATATGTCTCTATACATAACTATACTGCAGCACAGCAGCAAAACATTTAGTTAAAAAATCCAGCAAGAATGCAGCAAAACACTCCATGGAGGCATGCAGGCTAGGATGAAGGCAGTAGGAGGGGAGCCTGTATGGTTGCCATAGGGGTGAGTTCCAACCAATGGGCGGCCCACCCAGCCACCAGAGCACCACCTGGACATGTGCAAAGACATACATGCGCACATGGAAAAACAGAAAGGTTTTGCAGAGAGAGCAGTCACCACAAGAAAAGATCTCACATGGTCATTGTAACAGGCAACTGCACAAGCCCCCATGACCTAGTTCTCATTTTAATAAGTCAACTAGTACAGACCTCCTGAAGTTACAAGTTGCAATTGGCAGGGATTGGGGGAGAAACACCACCACACCTGGCTTTCCTGACCCCTCTCCTCACCTCCCTGAGAGTATTTCTTTCATTCATTCCCTAGCATCAGCAGTTTTTCTGCCAGTCAGAGAAAAACATTCCCCAACTCCCTGAAAAAGTGAACTCCCTTGAATCCTTTGCAGATCCCAGGCCATTCACAAAAAGCATATCTCAATTAAATATTGTAGTTGCTCAAGATGCACGAAGAGAACTGAACAAGACAACTCGGAACAAGAATCTTTGGCCAATGAGAAAATGTAAACCTCTAAGGAGACCTGATTGAGTCCAGACAAAAATGTATTAGTGTAAAGAATTGGAGGATCTTTCTTGGTGGTGCTCATGTTTGTTCTGAAATAATTTAGTCTAGCCTGTATTGAGGTTTTGAGAGTTTTCAGTAGAATCCTAAATGTTGTGAATTCTTCCAGCTTTCCAGGATTATAGTTGAGATCCTGATGGTGTTGGAGGATCATCATATTTTGCTTCATCTTCATGATGTCTGTGATGCCACAAATTTCCTTTAGAGAAAAAAAGCAAATATAGAAACAAAGAGGTTAGCACATTGCCAGCCTAAATGTAGGGACCCTAAAGAGAGCGAACAGTCTTTTAGGAGACAGACTCATTTGTTCATATTGTATCAACCATCTCTGAGCCATCTTAGAAAACCAGCTGATACCATGAGAGCCAAACACAGATGGGATGAGTTCTTAGAACCTGATAATCCATGAAACTGCTATTGACCCCTTCTGAGTATTCAGAAAGACTCTCAAGCACCATGGGTCTCCTAGCTGGCAGATTCTTTGGGACTCAACATAGCTGGACCAAACATAATTTGATCCAGGAAATTCTCTCTTGGCATCTGTGCAAGTCTTAGTTTCTCAAAAAACAAAAAACTACCACCCTCCATCCTTTTTCCTCTATGTCCACCATTGTTATCTCTCTCAAGCTTCTAGGTCATCTAGGCTCAGAATTTAGGAGAGACCATTGACGTCAGAATTGGTATAACTGACAACTCTAAGGGAACATTCTTTTGAGTTCCACTGACATATCAAGAACATTTAAGTCCAATTCTGAAGAAGTGCTCAGTCACTTCAGTCATGTCTGACTCTCTGTGACCCTATGAACTGTAGCCCGCCAGACTCCTCTTATTTCCCAGGCAAGAATACTGGAGTGGGTTGCCATGACCTCCTCCAGGGGTTCTTCCCAACCCAGGGATCAAATCCATGTCTCCTGTGTCTCCTGCGTTGGCAGGTGACAATCTTTATCACTGTGCCACCTGGGAAGCCTATATTCTGAAGAAGAGGTGGAACCAAAATTCAAATAATGAAACAAAGTTTGCATTTCCAGGGACTGACTATAACAGATACAGAATAGGAGTGTTTAGATAGATCATGAAAACTGTTCCTGATACTGTAGGTGCCCATACCGACACCCCCAAGCCATGTCAAATAATACTGCTTTGTGGAGCAGGGCCAGAAGCTTGTAGTTGTATTTGACTGGGAAAGAGATATAAATATGACTATTTTCCAATACTTTATCAACAAAGAAAGGAATGAATCAAGTGGAAAGTTAACTGCTTATTCTTTTTTTTCTCTGCAGCTGTTTACATCACAGAGACTGCACCATAAGGTTGCCGCTCAGGCTCTCTCCTTGTCAGTGTCCATAACCACTTGCTCTTTTTTCTTAAGGGTCTTTTTTTTTTTTTTTTTTTTGGTCACACTGCACAGCACATCGGATCTTAGTTCCCCAATCAGGGATCAAGCCTGTGCCCCCTGCGGTGGAATCATGGAGTCCTAACCACTGGACCATCAGGGAAGTCCCTCCATATCACTTTCTAACTCATACCCTATCCAAGAGACTTCTTGGCATCACCTAAGGTTGGTTCCCAGCTGGCTGCCTCCCCTATGACCACCATACCTGCACACATTTCTAATGTGAGCTTCAGGTCTTTGGGAGGGAGGGATCCAGGCTGCTGGGAGGTCTTTACGACCTTGATGCCTGTGGGGGAAACTTACCAATAAAACCCTGGATGCCTTGGCCTGATTTAGGCTTGTATTCTTCTTCTGGCTTCTTTTTCCCCAATTTGGGGAACTTAACTTTCAATCTGAAGCTTTTGCTGTCAGTGTCTGAGGACTTTTCCTAGTAAAGCACAACAAAAGGAAGGTCAAAATGTTAGTTGCCTAATAGAAACAATTCTTAGAGGCTTGGAGAGATGGTGAACAAGGATGGCTGCAGGAAGCCAGCCAATCTGCTATCTATTCAGGTGTGGGAGACATCCCTACTCACTAGTACCATACCTGAGAAGGCATCTGGTCTTTACCAAGATCCTACTCTGTGCCAGATGCTTTGCTAAACACTTTAATGTGTGTGTGGTCAGTTGCTCAGTCATGTCCAACTCTTTGCGACCCCCATGGACTAGCCCCACCGGGTTCTTCTGTCCATGACATTTTCCAGGCAAGAAATACTGGAGTGGGTAGCCATTCCCTTCTCCAGAGGATCTTCCTGACCCAGGGTTAGAACCCAGGTTTCCTGAATTGCAGTCAGATTCTTTACCACTGAACCACCTGGGAAACCCCTAGCCCCCAAATAAATGCTCTCATATGTATAACTGATCTTCTGAATTGCCTTTCATAAGAAACCTAAAGTAAGGGCACAGGACCTTCCCTCTCAACCAAAACTCTGGAAAGCCCAATGAACAACTGACTCTCCTCCTGCTTTTCCCCATCAAAGTGGATCTGCATCTTCTGTGGCATTAAGGCAAGCAAGTTGGGTGTTAGGTGAATGATCAATATCTTCCTGCCTTTCTTTCAATCTACTCTGCCCTTCTTTAGAGCCTCATTTCTTCATCTTTATGGAAATACTGAAGTCCAGAAAAGAGATTATGCCCAGACAAGGCAAACTCGAATATTGAGACCTCAGAGCATGGACTGTTTGTCTTAGTTCTCTCAATATCCAGTCTGTCTGTCTAGGTCAAGGGCTTGGTGCTAGACAGTTGAACTGAGGAAGAAAGTGCTACAAGAGTTTGCTTCCTTTTCTGCGTAACAGCATGTTTTCCTTCCCCAGAGGGCTGCTGGTCAAGAGCAGCAAAGGCATGTGATACAGTTATTAAATTATTTAAGACCTGAATTTGCCTGTGGCTTTTTCTCTTAAATGGTAGCCTAATTGCTGCACTAGTCCAAATCCTTGTATGTCTTGCTCACATTCATATAACTGGTATATAAAGTCAAAAAACAGGTATAATGAGTAGAATAAATAAGAATTCCTACACGGTGTTGAAATGAGCAATTCCATGGTAGAGAAGTTTAGAGAAAAACCCTGTCAAACCGTAATGGGAGTAACTTACCTGGTGATAGGTAGACATCTTCCAGTCATTTGATTTATGAAATGTACTATTTTTCCATCTCAGGAAAGCACTCAGATTTGTCAAAAAATGACAACATCCCCAGAGCTATATTGTAGCCACTGCTGCCATGCTTGATTTTCTTTTAAGCCACACATCTGCTAGGGGAAGGCACTGAGAAGGCTTGCTTTCCTCCCAGAGTGGGAGGGACAGAGAGCAGCAAGGGAGAGGTGATACTTGGTAGATTTAAACACCAGTATGGCCTGGGCACCAACCATTTAGAACAAATGTTGGCTGTAAACAACTGGTATTGGCCCTAATGGTATGTACCAGATGAAATTCAGTCCTGGCAGCAGGAACTAAGCAGGGGAAGGGAATTGTGGCCAGGAGAAAAGCACAGAAAAAGACCAATCTTGCTTATTCTTTTCCAATCTTCTCTACAGAGTGGTTCTTTCTGGTTATGTTCCCATGGTCATCTAGTTTTTCAATGTGCCTTCTGCCTTGTCTACTTAAATGGTGAGGAGATGCAAGGAGGAGGCTCCATTAAGCACAAGCTGAAAACCACTACTGGTCTCCCTCTGCTATATCAGTCATTGTGTCCTGGCTTACACTGGAAGGCAAAGCCCTGAGGAAGAACCCCTCTTTCCCTTTATTTCCCAATCCACAGGTCACATACCTCCAAAAAAAGGATTGAATTCATCCAGTCAATCTTGGATAGCTTTTCAAACTCCTTATTCAGGGCATCCAGGGAAAGTTTCAGTGTGGCCTCATATTCAGCATTTCTCAGCTGGTGAAAACAGGAAAAAGAGTGAGTATCCAATGCCTAATACTTTACCTTCATAGAGTCTTGCTTTCTCCCCAACTCCCAGTCCCTGCCTAGTGGCCATTAGACCACAGGTTGCCAATTTATACCTCCTTTGGTCCATAGGGTCACTGGAAAGTATAGTCAGTCAGCTCTTTACTTTCTCAATAGGGAGATTCAGGAAAAAAATCAGATAGTGATGCTTTCCTTGGAGCTTGGCACACTCACAGTTTGCAAGCAGAGAGGCCCTTTGACCAGTATAAGTTAACACTGAGTTGTACCCCAACAACTTAGGGTCCAGGATAAAGGTCCTACTCTTGATCCTCAAGTCCCTGGAGACATCTAAATGTTCTCATAAAAATAGCTACCAATTTTTGAGCACATACTATATGCCAGGCACTATGCATACATGATTTCATTCCATCTTCTCAATAGCTTGATAATACCTTATGACGTACTATTGTTCTCATTTTATAGGTAGAAAAGTGTACTCGAAGTTTAGTGCTCAAGATCGCATGACTAGACAGAAACCAGATCTATTTAACTCTATAGCCTACCCTCTATACCATACTATCCCAGAAAGGGTATGTGGGGTGGCTAGATGTTAGGGTTGGGGGGAGGGAATCTTTATTACCCAGTTACCATAATTTAAAGGCTGCTTTGTGAAGCAAAGGGGAGGGCTAGAGAGAGACAGGCTCAAAATCTCCCTTCCTGGCAAAGAGGGTCTGCCTCTCCAGGCTGTGCTTTTAGCCCCTAGCTATTCACTCTTAGTAAATAAGAAATAGTTTCAGATGGCTTGTCTCACACGTTCATGAAACAGAGCATCCCCCAGCACCCACAGGATGAACTCTGTATACGCCATGGAAGAGTTAAAATAGATTCTTCTAAAACCATCTCCAACTTAGAAGACCCAAGTCCAGAGCAACAACATAGGTCAGATAGTTCATATTCCATTAGTGAGCTAGGAGGACAGATGCGTGCTGATATCATCAGCCCTGATGTCCTTTCCAGCTCACCTAACTTGACTTTGTCTCTCCTCCCTGGCATGTGCTCTACTTTCAATTTGGTACTTATGTGACTTCTTGCTGTGCATGAGCCAGCCTTAAGTAGAACCTTGCCAACTGTCACCAATGAGTGGCAGGTGAATGAGCAGGGGGTGGGATTGGAGGTTATGACCAATCAGGATGGGATATGAAAGGGTGACCAAGTCATGCTGACAAATGATCTCCTGCTCTTGCTTTACAACTAATGATTTAGGACAGTACAGGGTAGCCCAGGTGCACAGGACATGTGTGTGCACACGGTGGTGGGCTGGGGATCAGTGGTGACAGTTAGAAATGGCCATCACTTGAAGGTAAGGGGGAAAGGGGCAGGGGTCCTTGTGGGCACACTTACAAGCAATGCTCAAAAGGGATTTGGTAGGCAAACCCAAAGCCACAGAGTAAAATGAGGAGCTGGGGCCTTAGAAAATGATTCCTGATCATAATAGCAGAGGAATAAAATGGCTTCCTAATAACTTCCTATTTGGCACCTAGAGAATCAGGCTCTGAAAAATAGTATGTGGGTGGGCCTGAATCTCATGCTATAGTCTCTTGTCCTTCTGGCTCCAAGAGAGACCTTGTCCAGGACTTTTCTCTGAGATAAATGTTGCAAACTGACTCAGGGGACTTTGTTGTTCACTTCTTGTTCCTGTCCGAACACATCACTAAGTCAATTTGCCAAATAAGGGAAGTGGGAGTTACTGGATGGGATTTTCTTCCTCAAAAGGCTACAACCCTCTCCCAACACTGAGCTCCTTATTGTCCTCCTCCTTCAAAGGGAGGAATAACAACATTTAATGAAATAAACCTTATGTCCATGTCGCCTTCATGATATGGCCTTAGCTTCCATTTGCACCCAGTCTCATTTGGATGTTTGTATGTGTGTGTGGGTCCTTACCAGGTTTTTTTTATTAAGTGTGGTATGTACTCAGTTTGGGTTGTTGGCTGGTATAAATAAATTTTCATGAGCCCACGAGCCTCAAAAAAGCCTGAGTGTCAATGAGAGGCCAGGCTCCCATATTTCCTTCTGCCCAAATTGGCAAGGTCATTGAGCTCTACCTATATATAGAAGGTACTTCTGGTGCTGTCTCTAAAGGCTAAAACTCTAGCCTGGGGCTCAGATGCTGGGACAGTCTGGCCTGATTGTCTTTGCCACTCTGCCACCTGTGCAGTGTGCCAATTAGATGTGCAAATGGAAGGGGGAAGTGGATGCACTTCTTTCAAAATCAACTCAGAGGCCCCTCTTCAAATAAACCTTAATTAGATGAGAAGCAAGAACAGCATCTTCCTCAGGGCTGTAGCAGTGAAAGTCAAAGTGGGATGGTCATGATCAGTTGACTCATTAGCGCACACTCACCAGGTGTGCCTATGGGCTTTGCAGTAAGAGAAATAGCAACTCTTCTTGTAGCTCAAAAACTGAGCCTCAGTCCATTTTCCCTAACACTGATAAAATCTACCATCTGTCAAGCTGCTAGGCAGAGCTAGGCACTTAATAAACAGTAGTTTGTTTAATCCTCACAACAACCCGGAGAGGTAGAGATTACAATCCCTATTTTGTAGGTTGGGAAACAGGTGAAGTTACCTCACAGAGATACTGTTATGGATTCATTTGTGTCCCCTCCAGAAAGATATCTTGAAATCCTAACTTTCAGTACCTCAACTATTGGGAAATAGGGTCACCAAAGATGTAATTACTAAGATCATTGGCCTGGTCTGGACCCTGGTGTGGGGTTGGCCCTCATCCAGTATGACTGTTGTCCTTTAAGGAGATGGCCATGGGAAGACAGAGAGAGCACCATGTGAATATGGAGGACTGGAGCAATGCATCTATATTACAAGCCAAGGAATGCTCCAAACACTGCCAACAATTCACCAGGAGCTAGGAAGAGGCAAGGAAGGATTTCCCTACAGGTCTCAGAGGGAACATGACCCTGCTGATACCTTGATTTCAGGCTGCTAGCCTACAGAACAGTGAAACAATGACTTTCTGTTGTCCAAAGTCACCCAGGTTTCAGTGTTTGTTACAGCAGCCTTAGGAAATTAATATAGTTAGTAACTGTCAGATTTGAACTCAGAGACTGCCAACTTTCCCCACTATTCCTTACTCTCTTCCCACATGGTGAAAGACATATTGTGGAAACTTGGGAGATGCAGAGCAGCTCAAAAGAGCTCACCCTTTTCTACTGAAGCTGTATTGGGTATAGTGAGAACACCCTACTTCTGTTTGGTCTCGTATGGACCTAAGAGACATTTGTCAAAGGAGAGGAGGAGATTTTTCTTCAAGGATATGATAGTTCCTATGGACTCACATAATTTATGAAGTGACATGATCAATGATAACTCTAGATGAGGATGACACAGCAGGGACTGCCAGATAAGCACCTGGGTAAAATGCTCCTCCATGTTTTTCAATGCCCTAGAACCAAGTGCAGACTGTGACCAACTTTATATATTGCCCTCCCTTGTTCCAAACCCATCCACTCACCAAGTTTTCATCCAGGAAAGCTTTGGTGTCATCGTAGAGCCCTTTAAGACTAAATATAACATCTAGTGCATCATTTCTGGTTAAAGTCTGAGAGAAGAAAAGAAAGGAAGAGAAAGGACAAAGACAGAGGAGTTATTGGTTAGTAAGCATTTAACTGGCTTTTCTGTGGGTAGGTAGGGGCAGGCTAGTAGGGTGTGGCTGTAAGTGAAAAAGTAATATTCACAATATAGCACAACTAGTAGTTCAGCATGGGCACCAACTAGTCAAAACTGATGCCAGCTATCAACTACAAGTGCAGCTGTACTGGTGTGTCCTATGTAGTGACATAGGACAACTTTGCATTTATCATCACCGATTGAGTACTCTGGGTATAGGGAAACACAAAATATGCAAACTAGACATAAGTTTGAGGCCACTTCTTGCCACTAGCTAAAGCCACCTTTTCCAAGGAATGTGGAATTAGGCATTGTGGAATTAACCATCTCTCTTCTTGAAACTCCACGGAGAAGGCAATAGCACCCCACTCCAGTACTCTTGCCTGGAATCTCCCATGGACAGAGGAGCCTGGTGGGCTGCAGTCCATGGGGTCAAGAAGAGTCAGACATGACTGAATGACTTCACTTTCACTTTTCACTTTCATGTATTGGAGAAGGAAATGGCAACCCACTCCAGTGGGACGCAACTGAAGTGACAGCAGCAGCAGCAGCAGCAGCAGCAGCAGCAGCAGCTTCTTGAAACTCCAGGCCCCTTCCAATGAAGATTTGGCCCCCAATAAATAGGTTGCCTACATTTTAGGAGACCCTGATCCTGTATGTGGCCCTTTTGTATGGTTTTCTTAGCATAAAGTTACTTTTTAAAAACATCACTTAAAAATCTTCTGCCAGTGGGTCAAGTCATGAGATGGCACATTTAACATCATGCATCCTAATCTGGACCTTTCCCTCAAGAGGAAAACCAAGGCAGCCTGGAGTTCAGGTTTCAATGACAAGTATCACCTTAACAGGTTATACAGGGATCCACCTGGGATAAGGAAGGGCCAAAGCCAAGTTCCTCTCCATCCACAGGCTATTTGTCCTTGAGACCAGTGTGGTAGATAGCTCTCAGGCTGATGAAGTCTGCTATGGGATTCTCCCAGTAGCCATTCTGAACCTGTAACAAGTCAAGGAATATCTGCCTCCCTTTCTACTCCATCCATCAGTTTCCTGCCATGTCATTTGCTCGGTTTTTCTATCCAGCCTGGGTTCCTCTTCCTTCCCTTCTATTCCCTTTCCTATTTGGTTGACTCCTTTCCTTCATCTGCCCCTTCCTCCCTTACCTCAATGGGAATGCAGGAAGCTGCAGCTGTCTCATTGCTACTCTCTTGTTTGTAAAATACATCGTTTAGGGTGTTAGCACTGGCATTCACAGAATCCATGAGGACAGACACGTGCTGGTGGACCTTGCTCAGGTCAGTAAGTCTGTAATAAAGCAAGAAGAGATAAATGAGTCTAGAGTTCTGAAGGACGTCTGGTCTGAGGTACTTGTAAGGGTTAGGATTAAAAGTAAAAATGAAAGCTCTGAGTACCTGAATTGTATTCTTTACTCCCTCCTGTTATTTCTACTCATTTCTAGGTAGCCACTTATGCCAGAAAATGTTTCTACTCTTCTTTAGGTATTCACTTTTGCCCATCCTTTTTTGGGGGATCTTAGTTTCCTGACCAGGGGTTGAACCCCAGATCCTGGCAGTGAAAGCACCAAATCCTAACCACTGGACTGCTGGGGAATTCCCACTTTGTCCATCCTTATCTCACCTGAATTAGATACTAAGTACTTTGGAAGAGTGGGAGGCTAGAATAGAGGAAGGAACTGATTCCAGAAACTCTAAGGCCTTCCTGATATTTAGGGCCAAGGATAAACATTTTATTTTATTTTACTTTTTTAGGAAAGCATACTTTTTCTTTTAATTTCTTTAAGGCTATATATATATATTGTTTCCATTTATTTTTATTAGTTGGAGGCTAATTACTTTACAATATTGTAGTGGTTTCTGCCATACATTAACATGAATCAGCCATGGATTTACATGTGTTCCCCATCCCGATCCCCCTCTCACCTCCGNGTTCTAATGAGATGGATGAAACTGGAGCCCATTATACAGAGCGAAGTAAGCCAGAAAGATAAAGACCATTACAGTATACTAACACATATATATGGAATTTAGAAAGATGGTAATGATAACCCTATATGCAAGACAGAAAAAGAGACACAGATGTACAGAACAGACCTTTGGACTTTATGGGAGAAGGCGAGGGTGGGATGATCTGAGAGAACAGCATTGAAACATGTATATTATCAAGTGTGAAACAGATCGCCAGTCCAGGTTAGATGCATGAGGATAAACATTTTAAATCCTACTGGGTCTGGGGCAGCAGGAAGAGATCAAAATTAGTCTTTGGACTTAATGGGAGAAGTCCAAGCTGACCACAAAGACTATTTCCTGTCTGGATTGTTAGGGTCCCTTTCAATCCTCAGAGCTCTGGGCAAGACTCCTTTCTGAGGTCAGGCTCTCCAGTAGCCTACAGACACAAGTTGGCTTCTTCTCCCCATCCCTTCACGGGATTCCCAGTCCTGTATCTGGGCCATACCACTTACCTGCTGATGAGGTTTTCTGCAAGCCGAGTTAAGTGCTGCATCTGGGCATACTCCTCATCAGAGAGGCTATCTTGAGATTCCTGGGTATCCAGCTGGGGCTGAGAGGCAGCTTGGATTTCAGAATGCTTGCACTCCCACATTTTCATTGAGTTCTCAAAGTCCTAGAAATGAAGACAGTGGCAGATCCTAATGACTGCTGTTAGCTAAGAGGGCACATGACAAGGTCTGTCTGTGAGTCTGATATGTGTGGGTCAAGGGGAATGAGGGCCCCACATATTCCCCCATACACCCATCTCCACACTTCATACATCTGTCCAACATTTTATTCAATGTCTTTAATACTAAGCACTTTTAGTTTTGTTGTTTTTACTGTTACCATGCCAAGTCTTGGGACAAGAAGCTTGAATCAGACAGATGTCTGCCTTCCAGAAGATTCTATAGGAAGGCATCATGATCAGTAAGATAGTGGAGCCCCTTTCACGCTCCCTTCTTTGCTAAATCTAGGCAATATGTGCTGATGGATTTTAGAGCCAGATGTATCTAATTTAATTTTGAATTGTGCTTCTGTCATTCACTAGTCATGTTGACTTTTAGCAACATATTTAACCTCTCTGGTCCTTATTTTCCTCACCTGTAAAATGGGAATAAGTGTTATCTACCTCATAGAAAGAGGAGAGTGAAAATGTTGGCTTAAAGCTCAACATTCAGAAAACTAAGATCATGGCATCTGGTCCCATCACTTCATGGCAAATAGATGGGGAAACAGTGGAAACAGTGGCTACAACAGAGGATGAGATGGTTGGATGGCATCACTGACTCAATGGACATGAGTTTGGGTAAACTCTGGGAGCTGGTGATGGACAGGGAGGCCTGACATGCTGTGGTTCATGGGGTTGCGAAGAGTCAGACACGACTGAGTGACTGAACTGAACTGAACCTCATAAATTGTTGAGAGGATCTATTTGAGAGAATGTATGTAAAGTGCCCAACACAAAGCAGGTAGTTATAAACTAGACATCCCAGCCCTTCACTATTGCTGTGTCTATGGACTGTGCATAGGCTACAGTTTAAGAAAGCCTGTAATCACTGAACACTGATCGATAATGGCTCCTTTCTAGCTTTAGGTGGTTTAGCTGAGGTGGGTGATATTTGTGAATGCAGTATTTTAAGATGCCCTGAAAGTGAAAGTCACTCTGTTGTGTCCAAATCTTTGCGACCCCATGGACTATACAGTCCGTGGAATTCTCTAGGCCAGAATACTGGAGTGGGTAGCCGTTCCCTTCTTCAGGGGATCTTCCCAGCACAGGGATTGAACCCAGGTCTCCCTCATTGCAGGCAGCTTCTTTACCAACTGAGCTATCAGGGAAGCCCTTTAAGATGCCTTAGAGGAACCTAAAGATCCTATTCAATGAAGAATCTCTTGTTGAGGGAGCAGATTTCTCCATAACCACTGAGGTCTTTAGCTCTCTGTGCATTGGAAGAATGAGGACAACTTTGTCGAAAACCACAGGAGGCAGTTCCTTGTCTCACTCTCTTGGACAGCGCTTTGCAAGTGTCTGTATGTATAAGAGTATCTCAGAGAGCTTGTCTGCAATTGCAAGTTCTCAGGAAATACCCATCCCCATTCTGATGCAGTGGGACCTTGTGGGGCCTAGGAATGAGCATCTCTAACAGGCACCCAAGGTGACTCTGAGATGTCATGCAGACCTCCCTTTGAGAAATTCTGCCTGACTGGAAGCATTCAGTACTCAAGTGATAGCTGTAGATGAGACAATGGAGGAGCCCAAGATGAGCCTTTCTTTTCTTACCCGATCTCTGGTCAACATCTGAGCAGTGTTCTTGTATCTAATCTTGATAAGGCCTGGCCTCTGAACCCAGGCCTCCCCATCCACCTGCACTGGGACACCTTCTTCACCATTGATAGTTATCATCACCTCACGGCACTGCCAGAGAAGAGGAGGAGGGAGAATGGGGAAGAAAAATCAGGCAATGACTACAGACTAATCTGATAATCTCACAGTCACAGCGTAAATGTGTATCTGAACAGGATCAGCAAACATGTGAATCAGATTATCCCAGGGAGGAAACATGTTTGCTATAGACTTTTTGCTCCTTTGGTCCCTACCACCTCTATTTCTAACCTCAGCCAGCACCTTGCTGCCTACCAGATACCCTACTCCCTCCACCCTGCCATTCTTGTACCTGGTTAATTCCTGGGAGCAGCCCACATCCTATGTTGTAGCCACAGGGCTCAGACCCTTTCTGGTGCCCACCCAGCGTGTGCCTACCTGGGCGATGCGATGATGATGCAGGTTGATGATACGAGACATGGCCATCTGTACAGAACCAAAGATTGCCACGACCTCTAGCTTCCCATCGTCTATTGCAGGAGCCTCATATTCCTGAAGAGAAAGAACTCTGTCACATATCTCACTCTCGAAGAACCACACTTTGTCACAAGCAGGTATGCCTTGAAAGCTCGTGGTAAAAGTTTTTCTAGCTCATGAAGAGTGGAGAAACTACTACATTATTAAAAGGGGAAGGATGAGGTCAGGAAGCCAACTTGGGAGAAAGGCACTGAGATCTAAACTCAGCTCCTTTTGAGATCACAACTCTTAGCTGGTTCCCTCCCTGTCCAATCTAGCATCATAAATCCCCAAAGCCACTGGTCTCATGGCCTTCTTGGGCGGGCTCAGAGGAGAGGATTCATGACCAATTTCTCAGGAGATTTTATTGACAGACCTCCTTAGAGAAAAGGTCATGATGTAGCCAACCTTTCAAGGATCTGTCAGGTTTGAGAAATGGAAAATTTGAAGTCCATGTAACACGGAAGAATTAATCTGATCCTCAGGCTGTCAGCTGATTCTTGTGCTCTGGGGTGGTAATTGCCTTAAAAATACTCGTCATACAGCTGCTGCTAATAATGGTCCCCAGCCTGCCTCCTTTTCCCCCACACTCCAGTCAGTTCAGCTCTCCTTTCTGATAGACTTTAGAGGGGTCAAGATTTTCTCCCTCCTCATTCCCTGTTCCATACTCACTGTGGTTGCCGTGCTGCTTCCCCAAAAGTTGACGCCTCCGGCATAGCTGGTAATGTTGAGCACTACAATGCCTTGCAGATTTGGCAAGGAGATGGCCTCTCCATCACACTGAAAGAAAAGAGTAGCCCTTATTGGCTGGCTCTTCAGATACCAGTGTGAAGGGATATTTACAGACATGGGGGAAGGGCTCTGTCTTCTCGTCATGCTATCATTTTCTTATCCATAAAATGGAAACCTATCTTCATGCTTTCCTCCCATGAGTGAGGATCAGAGTTAAAGCTTGAGAAGAAATGAGAATATAGAGGGAAACTGATTCCCAAGGTCATGATATTTCCTTTCTTCATGCCCAGGAAGGATCATCCTCTTTTTCCACTAACCTCCAGGTGCACTCGTTCTTCCAGTTTCCTGTAAGAGCGCTGAAAGAGTTCCTTGCTTCCCAGAAGGCCATACCACATCTTGTTCTTAAAGCGGCTACTACAGGGAGATAAAGGTAGGGAAAGATAGTCAGAGGGTGAGTAATATAAAGGTAAGCGGATGGAGAAAAGTAAGACGAGATACCATCTTATTCCTCAAGTGCCTTGTTACAGGGTGGAGTCATGGTAACGTGACACAAGAGGGAATGCTAGGATAGTGTAACTGGAGTCCTTGTTCATACACCAGCTGTAATGGGTTCTTGGGTGTCCTTGAGACCTCAGCATCCCATTGATTTGTCACTTGCTGTTGATATTGGTTCAGTTTTGCAAGAGTTAGGCTACATTTAAAAATAAAGCTCATAAAAGGCTGTGAGCACAACTGGGTTGTACGTGTTAAGTCACTTCAGTCATTTCTGACTCTTTGCAATCCTTTAAACAGTAGCCCATCAGTTTCCTCTGTCCATGAGGTTCTCTAGGTAAAAATACCAGAGTGGGTTACCATGCCCTCCTCCAGGGGATCTTCCTGACCCTGGGATCGAGCCTGCTTCTCTTACATCTCCTGCATTGGTTTCTTTACCACTTGCATCACCTAGGAAGCCCAACTGGCTGGTACACACCAGCAAGTGCCATTCTGGGAGATCAAGATTTCAGCCGCTTGGAATCAATTTCATTTGAAATATGTGACAGACTGCAGTTTCTTTGAAGCATAACTTTTGTGGCAAAGTGGAGGGATTTTGTAAGACCTGTATCTCAAAGACTTCAGTTCAGTTCAGTTCAGTCGCTCAGTCATGTCTGACTCTTTGAGAACCCATGGACTGCAACATGCCAGGCTTCCCTATCCATCACCAAATCCTGGGGCTCATTCAAACTCATGTCTATCGAGTCAGTGATGCCATATCCAACCATCTCATCCTCTGTTGTCTCCTTCTTCTCCTGCCTTCAATCTTTCCCAGCATCAGAGGCTTTTCAAATGAGTCAGTTCTTTGCATCAGGTGGTCAAAGTATTGAAGTTTCAGCTTTCAGCATCAGTCCTTCCAATGAATATTCAGGACTGATTTCCTTTAGGAAATCCTTGCAGTTCAAGGGACTCTCAAGAGTATTCTCCAATACCACAGTTCAAAAGCATCAATTCTTTGGTGCTCAGCTTTCTTTAGAGCCCAACTCTCACATCCATACATGACTACTGGAAAAACCATATAGGAGGCAGGTCAGGTGGTCTGGTATTCCCATCTCTTTAAGAATTTTCCACAGTTTGTTGTGATCCACACAGTCAAAGGCTAAACACTTAATTCAGTGCTATAGAATAGAGCTAAGCTTACCAGACAGACTGTAGAGGAGGGCCCAGTGGAGAGAATATGGGAAAGGCAAGGATATCAGGAGACTTGTGGTGGAGGTGGGAAGAACAAGGTCCTGCTCACTGTAGAGTCTCTGATAAAAGCAGGCAGGATACTCACATCCCTAGAAAGGCTGGATAGAATCTACTCTGAACTCCCCAAGTAGGGTCACAGAAATGAGCCACCACAAGGCATGGGTTTTGAAATGTAACAAGGCTAACACAAAATTATTTGCACTCTGCTTCAAACCATAAATTTTCTGGACACTTTAGTTTCCTCATCTACTAAAAATCAGAGCTTAGTTATATGGAAATGCAAAATACCTAGAACAACTAAGACCATTCTTAAAAAAGAACAAGGTTGGAGGACTTTTGTCTCCCAATTTCAAAACTTACTATAAAGCTATAGTTATTAAGACAGTGTGGTGCTTGCATAGGATAGATACATAGATCACTGGAACATACATGAGAGTCTGGGGAAAAACACTTATATTTAGGGTCAACCAATTTTTGACAAAGGTGCCAACACAATTTGTTGGGGGAAACACAATTCAAAGGATAGTTTTAAAAAATGGTGTTGTGGAAAAAAAATGGTGTTGTGGTAATTGGATATCCATGTGCAAAAAGATGCACTAAGTTCTTACCTAATACCACACATAAAAATTAACTCGAAGCAGGTCACAGACTTAAAGGTAAGAGAAAAAACAAGAATTTTGGAAGAAAACAGAGAAAATTTTTAAGACCTTGGGTTAGGCAAAGATTTCTTAGATACAGCATCAAAATCATGGTCCGTTAAAAAAAAAATAATAGAATGCATCAAAATTCAAAACTTTTATATATCATAAGATACCACTAAATTAAAAGACAAGCAGTAACAACAGAAAAGACAAGCAACTGGGAAACAATATTTGCAAAACGTTTGTTTCTCAGCCCAGACCTGCTCTGAGAAAGAATTTCTGGTGGCAGGTAGCAGGGGTGATGATGGTGGATGGAAGAGGTGCTTATTTTTCTTCATAATTTCAATCTACCAGAAGAACTCTGAGGCTGCCTTAGGGTATATCTGCAGTACAAAAGTACTGGAAGGTGCCAAGCAGGCCAACCCTGGATGGGGTAAAATCAGTAGGTCCAGGGGAACCAGATTAGGAACCCTAAGAACTAGTAGAGTGATCTTTGATGCTTTGCAGCCTTGCCAGGCAAAAGCAGACCTGAAACTACTACTAGGACCTTGTCAAATTCTCAGACAGAACAAAGATAGGGAATTGGCTGAATCAAGTCAATGTAATCTGTTTTCACTAACAGTAACACAGTTAGCTGTATTTACACAGCAGTCCACAGGTCAAGATGAAGATGGCTCCAAGTTCAGAATACCAGTGCAGTCATCACAGATTTGGTCAACATTTGGGGCAAGCTATCCTATTAGGCTAACCTTCAGACTAATGTGTTTTACTTTCAAATGACGGACTCTTTACTTTTCAAAAGAGTTCTGTTGTTTGGGATGTGGGGGATGTAGGAGTACATGTGTGTGTTGTGATTGTGTGTTTGCATGTGGGCAGGGAAGTTTCTTTTCCTTACTTGTATTGTCCTGGGTGTTCATCTCTTCTGGTGTTGAATTCCAGAGAAATTTTAGCATCTAGTCCAATTCCAAAATAGTTGTTCATGACACACTTTTCTTTGAAGCGTCTGAAATTAGCCAAAGGGAAGAAAAGAGTAGACGTTGGTATAGAAAAGAAGTGCTATTATCACTGGGCTGCAGACTTTATCTGAATATTCAAAACCAATGAGAGAAGGCCTGTTCTACATTGGGTACAAGGCTTAATATTCTTGAGAGGCACATGTAGATATCCTATTTTGTTAACAAGTAGCTTATTAGCTGTAAGAGAGGACACCCAGCCAGCTGGGAGGATTCAGTGGGATTGAGACTCATGAAGAAGTCGTCTTTGGAGACTGTCAGATATGAGTGGCCAATATTTTCTCTAGAGGGAAATAAGAACCTTTGAGTATCTCAGATTAAAATGTATGATGAGAGGAAACTCTGTATCACTGCTTTTAGAGATTTCTGAACTCCTTTTAGCACTTTCACATCCAAGGGCAAAGTGACCACACATTTGAGGGGGAAAGACTTTATAAAAGATGATAGATATATGTAGAACAAAAACAAACAAACAAATAAAAAAACCAAGCAGTTTATTTGATTCTTTTGCATCCATCCATTAAAACCAGTGGTGTGCTGGAGGCAGTTCATATTAGCTTATGTAAGCTGATTATGCCTATAATTCCTAACTCTGCAATCAATGACATTGTATCAGTAGCTTGAAGTAGGCCATAATGGGAAAGTTTATAACAGGAATAAATCAGGGCTTCCCACCTGCCACCCACCCTGGGAGCTGGTTGTTAAATATTTTTCAGCACACCATTGATCAAAGTGATAAGTGATAAGTTCACTGAGGTCTCAGATATGAACTTAAGCCAGGGGCAAAGTGGAGGGAAGTGGGAGTTGAAAATGGGGGGAAGCTGTAGAAAACATATAATTGCTAACTGTCTTTCAAGAAATGAAAAATAGGTACAGTTTAGCTACTTAATCACAGATTTGTTATAATTCACTACTAAACTGATCCTACATCTTTCATGTAAGATTTTCCTCCCTTGACTATAGCCCATATATTTGGATTTCTTTAACTGATATAACCAATCTTCTTAACGGAACTCAAAATGAGTGAGTGTGTTGGAACTTGGCTACTGGGAATATTCTAAAGAGGTAGGGTTACTGAGACAAATGTCTTTACATTTGCTTCCTAGTCCCCTAAATGCCCACTTATTTTTTAGCAACTTCAGTTGTTTACTATTAAAGGCAACAGTGAAAAACAGGTCATTTGAAATGAAATGCAGTTGTGATAATAATAATAATAACTATAACACATATAAACCTAACTATGGATGCCAAAGACTGACCAATGTTAAGTACTTTGGATAAATAAACTCAATAAATACAACAAACCTATGTGACAAGTTCTACACTTATCTCCATATTATACATGAGGAAACTGAGGTTTGGTTGAACTACTTGTGTAAGGTCACACAGTTAGTAAGTAGAGTCAGCATTTGACTCTAGGTATCCTTAGTCTGTTCTCTAAACCAGAGAAAGGAAGAAGCCATAGAAAGGTAATAGGTCTATAAATACTTACATAGTTTCAGGTGTAAAATATAAGTGCTCCAAATTGAGGTTTTCTAGGTCTTCACTTTTGAGAGAAGATATAGAAGACAGAGTACCAAGACGAGAACCTCGACACAAAAGATATCACCTTGGTGTCAGATACAAAAATGAAAGCCCTTCCCCTACTTTTATTTCACCCTACTTTCTCTGTTGGAACAGAGTCAGCTCAATGACTTTCTTTTAGATAATATTCAGGGTTCTCATTCCAAAGAGGGATCATCTTGGATGGACAGGGACTTCCACTGAGAGAATAATAAGGCTGGGCAGACTGCTTGCTGGCAGTGAAACAGCTTCAAATCTTGGGTTTCATGAGGCCTTTTCAAAGAACCTAATGGGGTCATTAGGAGATACTTCTGGAGATAGGCATGGGGCCTTATTGTGTGGGGGTTTCTGGAGAAGAGGGAGGGATCTCTGTGGCAGAATAAGTGAAAGTGAAAGTTGCTCAGTCGTGTCTGACTCTTTGCGACCCCATGGGCTGTAGTCCATGGAATTCTCCAGGCCAGAGTACTGGACTGGGTAGCCTTTCCCTTCTCCAGGGGATCTTCCCAACCCAGGGATCAAACCCAGGTCTCCTGCATTGCAGGCAGATTCTTTGCCAGCTGAGCCACATAGCAGAATAGGATTAAGGCAAAAGGAAGATGCATGAAAATACTAAAGGTATATTTTCTGGGAACTAGAAGACAGAGATGAAGTGTAGAATAAAAGGAGAAAGATCCTTACGGTGTCTTGGGCTCATCTGGTTAATATCTTCTGAGTCATCTTCTAGGAAGAAAGTTGAACTGAAGTTCTTAACTGATATTGTCTGTCGGCTTTGCTCATCAAGAACTACAGAGAAAAAATGGAAGGAAGGAGGGAAGGAGGGTTGGAAGGAAGGGAAGGAAGGAGGAGGGGACAGAGGGAGGAAAGGAGAAAAGGAGGATTGGTCACATTTCTTGAGCATCTCTTTTGTTAACACCAGTCAGTGCATGGGGAGACAACGGAGACTCCCATTTGATCATCACCTCTGCTCCATGATGCCGTTTGTGGTTTCAGTTTCGCTATAGTGTTGGCATGCTTCTTTATGTCCATGCTTGCGCTTTCTCTGTTTTACTTGTTACTCTTCCTATCACCCAGTAAATGTGGTTGTGAGTAGAAGCTGGGGACCAGGGGTAGGTGGAGCAGGATAGGAAACTCTCTGCTCTTCTACCTCCATCCTATTTGTAATTCATTTCATCCCATTTGTAATTCATTTACTCATGTGCCCTTTGTTCTAAACTTAACCCTCTAGGACCATGCCTTTCTTTCAGTCAAATGTCTCACCAATACCCAGAATATTTGAGAAGTTGCCTTCCTTTCACCAACCTATATATTAAGATCATATAGCTCAGGTGCTTGGCCTATGCCAAAGCCTATAGGTTCAATCCTTATCCTACCCAGGGATGCCTTTCTCTGTCCCATGGCCACAAACTATACTTCTAAACCTGACTTATGTATTAATGGAGCAGGTTGAGTACTAGTTGTGACAGTGTTATGGCTACATCAGATTGATCTGATCCCTCCTCCTTGGAAACTGTGCGTGCGTGCATGCTAAGTCACTTCAGTTGTGTCTGACTCTTTGCAACCCTGTGAACTGTTGCCTGGCAGGTTCCTCTGTCCATGGGATTCTCCAGGCAAGAATACTGGAGTGGGTTGCCATGCCCTCCTCCAAGGGATCTTCCTGACCCATGGATTGAACCCACATCTCTTGTGTCTCCTTCATTGGCAGGCGGGTTATTTACCACTAGTGCTACCTGGGAAGCCCCCTTGGAAACGACCTACAGAAATAGAGGCAAATTGGCTCTTTAATTATTTCACACTGCAGAAGGGATATTTTCTTTTTTTCTTAGAAACTTGGCTGAGGTTGTACCTACATGCACCAAGGCAGGAGAAGGTACGATAGGTAAAAGCCAAAGGCCAGCCAAAGGGACTTCTTGCTACACAAACTACTGCTCAATTCCAATAGCTCAGGTAGAACACACTTGGTATTAACATAATTTTCTGATCTGTTTTTCAAAAAAGCACTGTGGAGAAGAAATGGAAACCAGAATGTTAAATTAAGAAGTTGGAGGAGTTGAAAGAGCTTTCATACTGACTTGGAAGCTTGTAGGTTGCCATGAATTGTGGGAAATGGCAATCAATGCCAGAGCTGCCAGGACCACTCTCAGGGCCCTTGTGCCTGATGAATACTGTGTAAGACATGCAGAGATGAACACTATTTTCCTTCTAAAATCGTCATAGGCTCAGTAGTTGGAAGGGAATAGGAGCAGGTGGAAAAAAATTTCATGGCTGGAGGTGGAAGCTGACAGAGCTTTGAGCCAAGCCTCTTAGCAGCTGTAATTGTTTAGGATGAGTGTTAGTTCCAAAACTAACTAAGTAGCAAGAGTTTAGTCTCTGTGAGGTAGGAGGTGCCAAAGGGGCAGCTTATCAGGAGTGAGGCTTTTCAAAGTCAGTCTGAGGACTGATTTTTTGATGCTTTATGAATGCAGAATCTAGTCAAGTTTGGGTAGTGGTGTCAAATAGAAGACCCAGAGTGAGGTAGATCAGTAACCATCCACAGGAACCTTCTCTTTCCCCTCCCTCAGTTAGCACAACCCTGGGATCTTTACCTTGTTCAACTTGGAATATGATGAGTTTCAACGACTTTTGGAGATTCTGGGCCTTTGTAGCCAGCTCCAACTTGCACTTGGCTATGTGGTCTATTTGAGGGATGGAGGGCTTTCCATCTTCCTTGGCACTTTCTTTATGTGCTTTGGCACTCTTCTCAACTGCTACATCCTCAGCAAGGATATCAATCAGAACACTGAGCTTGTCGTACATTAAGTCGCTCTATGTAGGGAATGAGACAGAGCATTGTTATGAGAAATTCATGCTTGAAAGGACAGAATGAGTAGTTAGATAGCATGGAGAGAAGTGCAGAAGGGTAACAGTTGGCCAGGACACTGAGCATAGGAAGCTAAATGTGGGGAGATGAAAGTTTAGGGAAAGAAATTTTGGGTAGATGTGATAAGATAGCCAAAGGGTGTTAGGAGGTTAAAGAGACATCGTTTGTTTCTGAGCAGCTGCAGGCACCAATGTATGTTGCCTAGTCTTTCTCATGTCTCAAGTCTGTAAAATGATGTACAATATAGCAATATTGAGGAAAGATAAGCAAACATTTCTGGAATGGTGTTTTCATGGGCATGCTCCTAATGGATACGGATGTGGCTCTGTATGGGTGCCTGGTGTCTGCTTTTGTCTGTGTGTATGTTTGGGGATGTACTGCATGATTATGGCCTGATTCCCAGCTCCATAACTTAATAGTTTGTGAACTGAGGCAAGTAACTTAATCTCGTTGTGCTTTTATATTCTTGAGAAGTTGTGAAGATTAAATAAATGAATACATTATAAGTGCTTAGAACAGTTCTTGGCACAGAATAAGTGCTATAGAAGTATTAGCTATTATTGTTACTGTTGTAATTATAGAGATGACCATGGGTGTATTTCTAGCATGTATTTGTATGTAGCTTCAAGAATGTTCTGATATACAGCCATGTGCATACATGTTGGTGTATGCTTGTGTCTAGGTGTGGACAGATGCTTAGGTACATGGTACATGGATAAGCATGTACAGTGCCACTCTTTATTTGGTGAAAGGTGGAAGTTCAATGAGGATTTTCACCATCAGGGAGGCTTACCAGCTGCTTCTCCTTGCCCTTTAACGATTACCAGTGAGAGGGACATTTGCTTTTATTAAAAAATGGGGCTCTGGTGCCACAAAGAGTACAAGACAAAAGGATGGAAACTTACTTTCAAAATGACAGACTCTATTGCTGTATTGTTCTGCTTTATCCGGCTCCAGGCCTTTACAATATCAACCACAAAATCTTCCACTGCTGAGCACAGGAATCTGAAAAGATAAGATAGATGGCACAATGTGACATGGACATGAGGTTCAGAGCCCTTCTGTCTTATAATGTCATTACTTTCCATCTTCCTCCTCTTCCTTCTCCCTCTCTCTTTTCTGATCTCTCCTTTCTCCCTCTCCTTGTCCCTCTCTCCCAACTCCCTCTCCTCTCTGTTTACTCTGATTCTTCACGTGCATTTGGCAAATATGCCAGTACCTAAGAGAGTTTAACTAACATTTCTTAGCCCAAATTCCAAATTTCCAGAAAACAGAATTCAATTGGTATAACTTGGGTCTGGATTTCATCCTGGGTCAAATCAACTATGGTTCAAGGACCCAGCTAATTTAGTACTAATGTAATGACTTTGGTATTATGGCCCATGTAGGGACTGTTTCTCAAAAAAGAATGTGGTAGACTTGGAAGGACTCCACCAGAGTCCCAGGAGGAATGAATGGCCCACATATTTAGAAGAGGAGAATGTGTTGCTCAGCTATGAGAAAGCAGCAGTAGTAGGCACCATGGAGAGTTTTCCAGGTATTAGATGGAAAAGGTGTCCCTGCTGGAGGGGGCTATGCTATGCTCTTGAGTGGTATGGAATGTTGTGTTTCCCTTCTGTAACCCCTCTTCCGAATCTGTGGCTTGCAATTTTGCCATGTTGGGGTAGCAGGAGCCCTCACCCCAATCTCATCTTTTTTTTAAATTTATTTTTCATAAACTTCCCACTCAGGAGATTTGAGTTAGAAGAAATTTGATTTGGGAAGGTAAACATATGCTTTCTTTGACCTCAACCCCCAAGCTACTAAAATGAGCACCATCTCTGACTTATGGAACAGCCTATGAGAAAAAACACCCCAAAAGGTTGAGAGGCAAAGGAAGACTGACCTGGTTGCGATAATCATCTCTGTCGGGTACTTGGCCTTCAGGATTTTGTTTAACTCAGTGGTTGCAGATTCTAAGTGTTGGATCGCAGCAGCCTAGGGAGAAAATCAGTGTTCAGCCCTGGAATCTTAGCACTGTGACATAGTGTGCTACCCACCCCCACCCCGTCATTATTTCCTACTGATGCTTTACCAGCAACACAAATGCTTCTTTGAAAATAATACACTTAAAAAGAATTCTTGTTGAAGATCTCCACAGATAATCTTACATCTGTGGTTACTCTAAAAATAAGAGATGTATATTATTTCCTCTCATTTAAATTAATATTCAAAAACTCATATGAAAGGGATACTGTTTGTTCCATGTTTCAAATGAAAAAACCATCTCATATCACATAGCTAGTAAGTAATAGATACGGGATTTGAACCTATATCTTTCCAAACAGAGTGTCATCTCTTATATATAATATTAAAAATAATAATCATTCTCATGCTCCATCATATCAAACTCTTTGTGACCCCATGGACTGTAGCCCACCAGAATCCTCTGCCCATGGAATCTTCCAGGCAAGAATACTAGAGTGGGTTACCATTTCTTTCTTCAGGAAAAAATAATAACAGCATCCACTTATATAGAACTTGCTATGTGCCAGGCTCTGTTCTAAGATACACACACACACACACACACACACACACACACACACACACATATATATTTTCAGATAACCTTTATAACAGTCCTATGAAATAAGGATTATTATCCCCATTTCACAGAACAGAAAACTGAGGCATAGGAAAGGGAGAGCTGTTAAATGGTAGAGCCAGGATTTGATTCCAGGTAGTCTGGTTCTTGAGTCTGCACTCCTAACTATAACTTATATTCACCCCTGTCGCCCTCTACATTGAAATATATACCAAGATCTGATGATTCTATCACTTGAATATGTTTTAAATATGCCATATTACCACTTCAGCAGTCCAAATCACCATCATCTTTTGCCTAGAAAATGTTAGCACTGCCTATCTTTTTTCCTTGCCTCTAAGCTTTATTCCTTCAATTGTTTCTCCATATACCACGGAAATATTCTGCTTAACACCTTTCTATTAGCAGAATAGATAGATGGATAGATATGAGATAAAGTATAGTGAAATATTAATGGTAGAATCTACCATTCAAAATTTCCTATATGTTTGAAAATTTCATAATAAAATAAGAAAATGTTCTTCTATAATTCTTACTGGTCTTAGAATAAAAGTTCAAATTTCCTGGGGGAGAGGTCAAGACAGATTAGGAGGACATGGAACTCACTTCCCCCTATGAACACGAAAAATACATCTAAATGTGGAGAAAGTATCACTGAAAACTAACTGGAGATTGGCAGAAAGACTTTTGTACAACCAAGGCTATAATAAAGAGCCATACAGAATCCAGTAGGAATGGAGGAGTAGCAATCATGTCGGGACCTGTGCCCTTGGTGGGGGGCACAGAAAATGAAGAGCATTACAAAGGCAGAGAGCCTCCCCGGGGAGTGAGCAGTTCAAGCCACATATTGGGTGCCACATCCCTGGAGTCTGACACCAGGAAGACAAGTCCCCTAACCTGGTTAGAAAACCAGTGGGACTAACAGGAAGGCTGTAAGAAACCTAGACTCAGAGGGATTCAAATCAAGAAGGCAGAGTAGGGGGATATGGAACTCAGCTTCCCCCATGAATATATCAAAAATACATCTACATGTGGAACAATTATCACTGAAAACTAACAGGAGACTGGCAGAAAGACTCCTATATAACCAAGGCTATAAGAAAGATCCACACAGAATCACATAGGAGGGAAGAGAATCGATCATGATGGGACCTGTGTTCCTAGGAGGGGATGTGTAGAAAAAGGGAGACTACATGGGTACATGCCCTCCCTGGGGAGTGAGCAGTGAGAGCTACATATCAGGCATTCCATCCCCGGGGTTCAGCAAAGGGGAGACGAGTCCCCTTGGCTGGTTGGAGGGCTAGTGGGACTAATAGGAGGGCTGCAGTGAAGCCTAGACTCTGCTTGAAAGGAGCCCATGAACACTTGCTAGCTCCCTAAGCAGTGCAGAAACGGTGGGTCGAAACCACCCAGGGCTGACTGGTTTCCTCTGACCACTCTGGTGTGTGCCCCAGCCTGAGCCAAGCAAATGCTCCAGCACCATTAGCAGCTCCACACAGGACTAAGGGCTGCCACAACAAGGAAAAAACTTTGCAGTAAGATGCTATGGTGTAACAATCTACAATGGAGAAGAATCTGAAAATAGAATGTGTGTGTGTATAAAACTTTGCTATACACCTGAAATATTGTAAATATAGTAAATAAGTAAAAAAGATGCTATGGTGGATAAAACCTTAAGTGGCATCTGAGCAGGGAAGGGGCATCCACTACCGGCAGTTGCAAAGTTGAAGCTTCAGAGGCAGACAAGATCTCTGATGGCAGCCAGACCACCACAGCCCATGCCTCCACCCCTGCTGAATACCCACACTAGCCCCTCTTGCTCCAGCAGTGTTCTGCTCAGGTGAGAGTGCCAGTGATGGGAGGGGGAAGAACACACACTTAAAAGGAACTTTTATATGTGGATTTTTGTATATGGATATATATATGTAGCAGGCATTCCATCCCTGGGGTTCAGCAAAGGGGAGATGAGCCCCCTTGGCTGGTTGGAGGGTCAGTGGGACTAATAGGAGGACTGCAGGGAAGCCTGGACTCTGCTTGGAAGGAGCCCATGAATGCTTGCTTGCCTGATATATAGTCCATATATATACAACTTTTTCACATTATAGGCATTGCAGAAGGGGAAGAGAGAGAGAGAAGGGGATTGAATATGTATTAAATGAAATTATGGCTGAAAACTTCCCAAGCCTGAAAAGGAAACAGATATCCAGGTATAAGAAGCACAGAAGTTCCCAGATAAGATGAACCCAAGAAGATCCACACCAAGACATATAATTAAAATGTCAAAATTGTAGATTCTAATGGCACCAAGAGAAAACTAAAGAGTCAGTTTCAAGTGAACCCCCATAAGGCTATCAGCTGATTTCTTTAGAGAAATATTGCAGCCCAGAAGGCTGTGATAAGAAATATTCAAAATACTGAAAAGGAAAAACCTGCTACCTAGGATACTCTGCCCAGCAAGGTTATCATTTAGGAGAGATAAAGACCTCTTCAGACTAGCAAAAACCAAAATAAATGAGCAAAACTAAACCTACTCTAAAAGAAATGTCCTACTCCAAATGAAAAAGAAGTAAGAATCTATAGGAAAGGGAAATTCCAAAATAGGAAAGGATTTAAGATAATCTAAATGAGCAAGCACATAGATTAAAGGGCTTCCTTGGTGGCTCAGTGGTAAAGAATCTGCCTGCCAACTCAGGAGACATGGGTTTGATCCCTGGGTCAGGAAGATCCCCTGAAGAAGGAAAAATTGTAAAATCAACTATAAAGACAATAAACAGTGAAGGAAAAAGTGTAAAGATGTAAAATATGATTTTAAAAAATACAAAATGTTGGGGAAGGGAATAAAAATGTAGATCTTCTAGAATGTGTTTAAACTTAAATGACTATCAGTTAAAATCACATAGATATAATTATGGGTCAACATATTTGAATCCCATGGTAACTGATGGCATGCAGATGCCCATCAGCAGACGAATTGACGAGGAAGCTGTGGTACATATACACCATGGAATATTACTCAGCCATTAAAAAGAATAAAGAACATGACAAAAGACAAACTACATATTTCACAATGGTGCTTATGTAAGAAATATGAGTATTTTTGCCATATATTTGGTTATGAGAACTTTGGGACAATTTGAATGTATTATTAAAATGTTGTGAAAATGCAAAAAAAAAAAAGAACAGTGGCTTTTATCTCTCAAAAAAAAAAAAAAAAAGAAATTATATCAAGTATTTTTTATGACCAAAACAGTATGAAACTAGAAATCAACTACAAAAAGAAAAATGGGAAAAGAACAAACACATGGAGGAGACACAACACACTACTAAAAAACCATTGGGACAGGATGAAATCAAAGAGGAAATCAGAAAGTCCCTCAAGACAAATGCAAACGGAAACACGATTTTCCAAAACCTATTAGATGCAACAAAAGGAGTTCTAAGAGAGAAGTTAGTGCCAATACAGGCCTTTCTCAAGAAACAAGAAAAAATCTTGCATAAAACATCTTATCACGTAAAAGCATTAGAAAAAGAACAAACAAAACCCAAAGTCAGTAGAAGGAAGAAAAAGTTAAAGATCAGAGAAGAAATAGGTAAAATAGAGACACATGTACACCTGTGGCTGTTTCATGTCAATGTATGGCAAAAACCACCACAATATTGTAATTAGACTCAAATTAAAATAAATAAATTAATTAAAAAATAAAAAACAATAGAAAAGATCAATGAAACCAAGAACTGGTTCTTTGAAATGATAAAATTGATAAACTTTTCGCCAGGGTCACCAAGAAAAAAAGAGTGAGGACCCAAATAAAATAATGAAAGAGGAGACAAAACAGCTAATACCACAAAAATTTAAAAAATCATAAAAGAATACTATGTTATATGCCAACAAATTGGACAACCTAGAAGACATGAACAAATTTCTAAAAAAAAATACAGCCTGGTAAGACTGATTCAAGAAGAAACAATTTGAACAGAATAATCAATACAAGTAAAATTGAATTTATAATAAAAATTTCCAGCTAACAACAGTCTAGGATCAGATGGTTTCAGAAGAGAATTGTAACAAAAATATTTGTTACTGTTCAGTCACTCAGTCATGTCTGACTATTTGCAACCCCGTGGACTGTAGCACACCAGGCTTCCCAGTCCTTCATCATCTCCCAGAGCTTGCTCAAACTCATGTCCATTGAGTCAGTGATGCCATTCAACCATCTCATCCTCTGTTGTCTCCTTTTCCTCCTGCCTTCTATCTTTCCCAGCATCAGGGTCTTTTTCAATGAGTTGGCTCTTTGTATCAGATGACTAAAGTATAGGAGCTTCAGCATCAGTCCTTCCAATAAATATACAGGGTTGATTTTCTTTAGGACTGACTGGTTTGATCTCCTTGCAG